AACAAGTTTCGATAGATCGAGCAAGATGTACCTTGCAACATGTATCTTGTCTTGAGCGTCAATTTGCCGAACGGTGTGCTGAATATGGACGCGATTTGATCGTTTGATACGGATACATTATGCGGAATCTACTTGATCTTGGCGATGTAATCTGACTCGTGACACATTACGTATTCAAGAGGTCTAGTGGTTGCGACAATACGGATTATAATTGCTCAATGATCCAAACTACCATTGAGAGAGACCTTGTACGTCAACTGGCACGACGGTGGTATCGAATAACTCTAATATCGCATGTTACAGATGTTGAAGCAAACATATACATGCATTGAGTAAAAAACTTGAAAAACAACAATATAGCTAAATTTACCAATCGAGTAATAAAGAACTTGTTCGGAAATTACCTTAAATAGATCTTTTGTAAAATGAATTGTAAATGATACGATACAAAATGTGAGATTATATACCTATGAGCTTATCACGAGTCTTCGAGTCTTCCATAGTAAGACACGTAATAAAATAATAAAATAATAAAATTTTCTCGACTAATGCGTCGTCACCTGTATAAATATAACATAAATATTATTTATAAAACGGCAAAGTGTGAATCCGTATCGTACCAAATGTCATTCCTTTATTGCATCACCACTTTCACTTCTTTTCCTTTTCCGTTCGCTTTTGTAAAACAGATATAAAATCAAACGTCGTCGCCATAAGGCGAGGAGATCCTCGCGGAGTATCTTCGCTTCTGATTGTATCGAATTATACGAATCCAGGTGTCGTTTGACGAGTTATCCTCCCGGATATTATTTCGATCGAACGAAACTCGAAGATCTCGCGCCATCTCATTATCCTACGGAAAGTTCATTTCCGTCGTTGGCAGGAAATTCATCCGCGACGTAGAAATACTTTCCTCGTTAGTCTTAATTTCTTCGCTTGGCAATACATACGTACGATACACACACTTGGAGTATGCCGCTGTATCCGCGGGAGAGAGCATTAATGACACCGCGGATGTACACGAGATGAATAACGTCGTGACAACAAGAGTCCTCCTCCGCTGTCCTCGGGCCTCCTTAATTTTCCTGTCTAATGTTCCAATTAATTTTCCGTTCGTCTTTTCTGTTTCTCGCATCTTGTCTCGAATAGTGACACGTAACACGTATCTGATAAATAACATTGCGATCGCTTTTGAGAAGCGTTACTTTCTTTGACATTTTTATGTTAATATATCGCGCGCGCGTACACGGTACGCTTTCCCGTTGAAAAGAAATAGAGAAGCATCGCGAGGTTTCCAGTCATCCCGTGAGCGCGAGACGCGTCTCTTCGCACATTTAACTTTATTCCATTATCTTTTTTTATTGCTACTATAATTTCAAGTTGGATTCACCAACAAATCAAATTTTAAAAATCAAATTTTGTGGATGGGAGCTTAAAGTTGAAAAGGATAATGGCGACTGTATGTTTTACTATACTTTTAAAATAAAATATTCAACATTCGTAATAAGCAGGATTTTTCACAAGTTTGATATATAACAAATCGTTAATAACAAGGAAGAAAAAAAATAATGATTTTAGAAAAAATATTTATAAATATGAAAACAATAAAGAGATACTCGCGCGTGTCGTTCTAGATACAGAAGAAAATGCATAGCCATCTGAAGGCTCTGACTTTTCAACAAACGTATTTTTAAAAAAGAGGATATCATATTTCGTTACTCCCTTTTCCCTAGATACGCATACATACACCACACACACACACACACACACACACACACACACACACACACCACACACACACACACACACACACACACACACACACACACACACCA